TGTACCACAATTTTATCTAAAAAATCAGCATTGATCAATTTCATGTGGCCCATTTAAATAGTTTTGAAGTCAAACATGGGTTTCATTCAGTTCAAGTGAAAACATTTTTATTCATATATAATAAATAGAAGGTTTCATTTCTGAATTGCGTTCGTCTTCAACAAGTTATTTGCTGAGTTATAAAACAAAACAGTCTTCTGATAAAAAATCAGTTTGTTTCACTCATATCTGTTCTGATCCGCCCATAAAGTAGATTATAAAACAAAATTGACATCCCACTTCAAAAACTTGTGGTAGGTGTTGAAATTGTTTGACAGCAAGACTTGAACTTAAATTGCATAGGCAAGAACTATGTATTTAAGTTTTGGTTTCAGCTTGATCTGTTAGTAATGAGACAAAAAATTTGAGCTGCACTGTGATTAGGTTGATATAGCGAAACCAATGTACAAACACCTAGTTATGTGAAAATTATTATATTTGCACTGTAAGCCTACCCAACTGCTTAATATTAGGTTTTTTCATAAGTTTTGTCCGTTTTTATGAGTCTAATTTAAACTGTAATGTCTCAGTGAATGTTTTTACCGATTCTTTGTTGAGATATTTGTGTCCATACGAAATTTTGCTCAATTTGTTAGCTGTATAATCAATCTGGTTTGTTCCATCAATATGAAGTCCTAGAAATTTGGTGTCTTCTGAAATAGTAATGTTTTCAATATTCAAAGATTAATTCAAAATTAACCTATTCCTAGTGAACCATTCTTTTGTATCATTATACATTTCCATACCTGTTTTTACTACTTGGTATGTTTCACAGCCTATTAATAAATTAGTGTCATTAGCAAAGACTGTAATTGAATTATGTGTGTTTGAATGATAACATAAATCGTTTATGTAGATAATAAATAGCAATGGAACCGTAATGCTTCCTTGGGGTATTCCTACTTTCACTGCCGCATTCTCATATTTGTATGTTCGACCATGTTTGTTAATAGTTACTATTTGTTAGCGATCTGTTAGGTAAGATTCAATCCATTTCAGTGAGTTTCCTCTTATACCATATAGTTCTAGTTTTTTTATAAGTATCTCGTGATTCAAGACATATCTAAGAACATACCAAGTGCTAAATATTTTCTTTCCATTAAGTTTGTTATATTTTGAGTAAATTGAAATATTGCACTGTTTGTTGATCTCTCTCGTAAGTATCCGTGTTGGTTATTGCTAATTATATTACATNGACACAGTAGAATAAATATTTATTGAGATATGGAGCTACAAAAATACTTGACATTAAAACGGATAAAACTTTTGAAACAACATGATGTATTGAATTTAGATTTTGGATTCTTATTTGTAGAACAAAACATTGGGATCCACTAAAAAATTCTGAATAAGATTATTCACGAACTTACTAAAATCTTTTTTGTTTACTATTCCTGCCTCATTAGAGTACTGTACCACAATTTTCTCTCTGATTCTTATAAAACTCTCATTATGTGCTCTTAAGTATCGGCATTTATTCCTTCTGTTATATCGCAAAACAATGAGTTTATCCATTCAAACATTTTTGTAACTTATGATTTTTATTAAGTAGCTAGTGCAAAAAAAGATGTGCATGAGTTTGTGTCTGATACGCTTCAAGTCAGTAGCGAAGATTTAGTTGAAGTACAGGAAGGGATGAAAAAATTGGCACTAGGATCTAAAAGCAATGGTAAGTTAGTTTGAGAGCTGGTTTAATATATTATTTTATATATCACAAAGTTGTGAACCTATTTTTGTACGCTCATCAATTGGCATGTTTTATATTCCTATTCATGAAGTTGAGTCTAGTTTTTCACATAGCATATAAAATTTTGGGGTCTTAAGGCGACCCCAAAATCACCTCAAGGCCATGTGGTGTGGATGAGAGTTGTTGAAGGTTAAACCAAAAATCCCTCTCAAAGTCATCTTGTGAAGCTCATGTTATGATTCAAAATTGTTCAAGGTTAAGTGGAGGGGGACGCTCCAGAAATGCATACGTCAACTACTACCACATGGGAAACACTCTAACGAAATTACAGGTTTGGTCTTTTTGATTATTCGGAACTTTTGGATGCTTTGTTACACGGATTGAGGGATGTTAGAGGTGTATATTATGGAGAGGGGTATTGTTTTCAAGTGCTCGTTTGTAAAATTTTTCGAAAATTTAGATCAAAAGAAGCCTGAGTACGAGGTTTGACACAAAACTGGTAATTGTCAACACCTGCCGAGTTACAAAAAGTACAGAAGCTAGCCTATTCAGAAATGTTAGGAGCATTTTTAAATGTCCTTCATTGAGATATAATTCTCAGATACTGCATATGTGCAGATTCTACTTATAAATAATGCAATTTTGATATAATGCAATATCTATATCTAATAATAAATTGAAGATACCTTGGGGTACATTTTGTGATATTATAAAATAATATTGCATGATATTTATTAATGTAAGATAGTTTAATGAAAATCGTACAAAATTATAAGTGGTTAGTTTCCTGTTTTCGTTTTGTCGCAGCTTAAGAGGATCGCCGACATCTTGCTTCCCTTTGTTTTCCATATCCCTTTCTATTTTCAGTATTAACCTAACCACTCCTATCAGAATATCACTTTTAGTTGTCCATAGTTTGCTTTAGGTACACTTCTAAACTTTTTATTTAACTTGCTTCACACCATAGCTACTAATAAAATATGTAACTTATTTAGGGTTAATGGTTAGAACAGTATTATCACTTAACAGTGAAAATTGGATAATTGGAAACTAATATTGCATGATATCAGTGATATTTCTTTCTGTTGATATGTCCACTGATTACCCTGTTCAATTATCAGATTTTTATGAATTTGTGCAAACATTGTTTTTGTTGGTCATTTTGTGAATTTGTAATATTTAATGGATTTTGAACTTATATAGACTTGAAAATAGCACCTCATGAAGTAACATTTTTTTTCTTCTGAACGTTTAGAAAGGGGCAAGAAAGAAGTAAAATTGAACAACTCGTCAACCTACTGTAATGAATTAACTCATTTGAGTTTTTAAGAGGAATTGTAATTCCGGGTTCTTTGCAATTCTGATCGGCATCTGATTATATTACTGTCATGAGGCGCTTGATTTTTCGAATGTGTGCACAAATTCTGCACAAATATTTTTTGGGCAACTCTGTTTTAGCAATGGACTAGGCTGGGACCCCTGGAGTAATTTTTGTTAGTGAAGCTTTCTTCTTTCTAAGTGTAATGTATTTTTGGCAATATATAAGTAATGTGAATGTATACAATTGAAATTTTGTCTTCCCAAAATTATGACTTGGGTCCAGTTTGAGTTGCTTAAAAATGACAATACAAAAGGATTGAGTGAAAGTAAAAGTAGAACCTATGTTAGAATGTACATTTCGGATTACTCATTTACAAATAAAAAATTTGGCGAGGACCAAATTTTTCATAAATATCTTCAATATGTGGAGTATTTTAACGCAATTATGTTATTTTTGAAGGGTGCTGAATATGTTTTAATTACATATATTACGTGAAATGGACCATTCATTCAATATAGCTGGAAATTATTGAACGGTGATCTAGATGTGAGATTCCGAATGAGCAACTCTTTATTTTTGAACACATCTTATTAAATTTTGTACGGTTTTTCAATTCAAATTACTTGATACGAATTTTCTCGAGCCCTTCAAAATGTTGATGATCTGTTGAGATCAACTGTTGAAGAATTTTTATAGGCACATGGTCATAGGCATTATATTTTGTGATGGTTTCATAGATATTTTAAATTATTTTCACCAGTCGTCTTAGTGTGATTGAAACGAATAAAAATCAAATGAAGTTTTCATATCCAAAAGTTTGTTGCTTTGCGCATTTTTCACATATTGAAATGCTAGTCCAGTTCAAAATTTTTATTTGTATGTGATTTGTTGTCAAGGTGTGGACCCACCAGTTGCTCAGATTTCCTCAAATGGTGAAATTTTGTGTACAAAACAGGCAGGAAACTAACACTGAGCATCTGGTTTGAAAAGCAAGATTGCTCAAGGATTTTGTAATTGGCCTTTTTTGTTTTGTTTCGCCTTTTTTCCTTATTCCTGATATTGTTCATATAGAAGAAGATTGGGAGAGAGAGCTAGAAGCAGAACTTCAAGATTATGAGTTGGTGAGTGAACAGAAATCCACTAATTCAAAAAGCGACAATTGGGAACAGGAAATCGAAGAAATGCTCCAAGAAGAAAATGACTTGAAGTGAGGTTTTCTCTAAGATATGTTACGATTCATTACTTTATATTCATGTGACTGATATATTTATATGTTATCGATAAAACTTAGTCTGAAAATGCATTGTTGAAAATAGATTGATGGTTTTGGTTTTGACATGTGGAAGATTTGAATTGTAGCAGTGGAGGATGTTGTCATATGTAAAGGAGTTTCAAAGGCTTTTTTCAATGAAAGTCAAGTTTTAAACATTGGAAAAAGGTTTTTTTTGAATTGCTGATAATGTCTTGTTAACTGGTAGGAATTGAAAGAATTTACCACTCCCTCATCATTAACGAAATATGCATGAAACTATTTCAGACAGTTCCCTTTTAGATTAAAAAAGTTATGGTTAGGATGTAATAATAAAGATTTTTTTCAAAGTTTATTCTGAGTAAGTGTGAGTTGAAAGTAACCACGAATGTATTGAAAAGTAACAAGCATGAATCAAATATAATCATTTTCTAAAATGGAGCCTAATCATCGAGTCATGGGAGATTTTTTCCCATAGAAACTGACGTCATATTCAACTAACCGCAATGATTAACATATGCTCTAGAACGTCAAATTACATCATTTCAACGTCACTTCCTATTGGTAAAAGATACCCATGAGAATTAGATCCGAGATGATATTTTATTACAATGCATGGGGAACTTTTTACAAACTGGGTAGTTAAAACTTTTAAAACATAATAAGATTGCTGCTTTACAAATCTATAATATTGGAGTTTGTTCAAGAACCATAAACCTTTTCTAATTAAAAACACATTTTCAAGGATTGGAGGGATTGCAGGTTCTTAATTTTCCTCGAAGGAAACAATTATTTCTGTTCTGTCTTATAGTATCACAACCATGTCATTTTGTGATATTGGAAGCACCGGATTTGAGGGTCCCCACCTTCTTTTATATATAGAATGAAAGAGTATATACATAGGTAAATGAATATATGAAGTGTCACTTCATACATAATAACGCATCTACCATTTGCTATCTATGATGTCTCAGTGTTTCATATTTCTTTGTAAATATTTTTTTTTGAATAAATTGATGGGTATTTCGTTAATATTTCTTTGTATATATTAGAAATTTATAATTGTAAATGTTATTATTTAAAACTGTAATATAATATATAAATACATTTTGTTATAGTGTTGTTGCCTTTTATGATTGAACACTTGGTTGCGTAAATAATAGAAATTGTAAACTGTTAGCATTATTGCATTGGGGATGTAGCTTTTCGTGTATAAGCATGTTCTGTATTCTAATTGTTACATACAATATACAGATTGTTGAATAAATGTAGCAAATGTGCCCACTCATACCAACGTTTTTATCAATTGTTCCCCTTCAGACCTCATGTACAAAAAAACTTTCAGATGATCTTGGTACTGGTCATCTTTATTGATATTTTTGTGGATTTCTACCCTTCCACAATATAAAAAAAAGTAAAAATAGTTCACCCTGATCAGTAACTGTATAAATTCAATGTAGTTTTAACGAAGAAAAATGCGCTTTTTATCAGTACCTCGGTATTTTCATCAAAAAAAGAGACCTAAGAATTTTATAGAAACTCATTCTAACGTTTCAGAGACCGAAATCTGTCTCTGTTGTATCAAATTAACTTGCAGTTTGCAATTTGATTCCTTTTATCTTCAAACTTTCTTGACAGATGTATTCTAAAATCAAAGAAGGCATTTTATGCTTCCTGTTTACTGTAACTGGCAGATGTACCAAGTAATTCGTCAAGAGTATAAACATTACTTCTGGAGCACAAATGACTTGAAAATTTCATGAGGTAAGATAATATTCATTTCTGATTTTACCACCATGGAGTTAGTTTTTGAAAATTTGATGTTGGAAGTCACAAGGTCGAAACTTGGCGATCTGATAATAAAAATTGATGACACTGTTTTACCGGTCGTAAATCAGGTTAAATATCTGACAGTTTTTATCGATTACGGACTCAAATTCAAAAAAACTTCAACATTGATTCAAAGAGCATTAGGAAAAATGAAAGTATTATACCCCCATAGGCATGTGTTGATACTATCTATTTTTTACCATTGTGGCGTAGTGTATCATTATTTTCTGAACAAAAATGATCAACAACGAATTCAAAGAGTTCAAAACTCTTGTTTGGGATTTTCATACGGTATCAAGAAAAGAGAACCAATTTCTCATACACTTGATAAAACCAGGTGGCTGAAAATGTACGAGGATTCTTCATTCTTCGACATTATTTCACAAAGTTATTGTCAATAGACCACCTCCCTCTATAACAAAATAACTCATCGAACTAATGTTCATAACGTGAACATCAGGCGTAAAATGATCCACGTTGTTAGACACTCCATTGAACTATTCAAAAGGTCATTTACATATATACAATAGCTTAATTCTATAACAACCTAGCACCTTCCTTTCGATCGAAATCGGTTTCTAGTTTCAGGTACTGCCTGAAAGAACATCTTCTAAACAAACTATACCCAAATATCTTCTACGACACATTGGCTCTTGTAGGCTATAGCTAAAATAATTGTAGTATTATGTTTGTATCGATATCCGCCTCATCTCCCCTCTTTATTCAAAAAAAATGTTGTACCCGCTATCATAATTACAATTTAGGCCCTTTGGTTTTTTCGTTTTTTATCTTTTTCATCTTTTTATTGTGAAGTGCAAGAGAAAGAATTAACTCTGTTCGCTCTTGTATCCTATTGACAAAATTTGTATTTTTCTTCTATTCTATCATGTTATTTCTGCTGTCAATACATTCATTTATTATTATTATATGTTGAGAATATTCAATGACAATCTGGAAAAACTATTTAATTTTCAGTGACTTTTCGGCAGCAAGCGAAGTGCATTTGCTTAAAGCGCTTCATCAGAAAACGACTCACAATACCTATACTTGAATATTCTTTCACACCAAATCATTAGTTTTCACTTTTCAACGTGTCACATGCCCTTATAGTAAAAGCAAAAAAACTATTCAATACCCTTATGAGAAGTTAGTCTGAAAACCATGAATACCCCCTCCTAAGTATATAAATACAGTTTTTTTATCAACATCTCAGTAGGATGAAAGCAATGCCTGGATAAAAACATTCGTAGTCCGCTAACACTGAGTCAATACCAGGTTATTGTCAAAGCCTGGCTTCTTGCAACAGATCTTCGAAAGGGGAGATGACTTACACATAATAACACTTGAGTTCAACAACACATTCGACGTTCAGCCTAGCATCACTAATGCAATCTACATGGCAGGCCAAAATATTATCTGGTGTTGGACCACGAATGCTTCGTATAATTAGAGCAAAACAAGTCATGCTTTCAAAGATCAATACTGTAACACTCTTCTCGACGTACGTTTCACGAACCAAGTTGACGTCTTGAGAAGAGGAATTAGTCTAGTTTCTATCTCTGAAACTGGCCTGTTTACATCTAACACTTTCGGATAAAATTTTCAACAGTGATTCATAAAGGTAAACAATGAACTGTTTGGAATGAGATTTTTCTCACTATTCATAGTTCTCATGCGACACTTTGCCTTTTCCAGACGAAAGTATCCAAAAGTCTAGTGTCCTCCACCAATCACAACAATTTTAGAAAGTGTACATTTTTATTCTATGACCGTTATTCAAGGCTTGTTAGCGACACTACTTTTTTATCTCCGAAATTGAATATAGACCGGGATCCCTCGCCCTTTTTCGTAAGTGATTACTAACAAGCTAATTTTTCGTCAGTAGCTTCATTTTGACGAGACGCCCAACATTAGAAAAAACTGTAAGTGAAGCCAGTGCTAAAATAAAGGAAACCGTTGAAAAAAATGTGAGTATTCCTTTTTACAGAATATAACTTATCATTGTTGCTTATAAATATTTTGGAAAAACAAGTTGTTGGAAAAATCCACATTTACTCTGTACTTTGCATTTGGTAAATATTGAAAATACTTTATTTAAATACTATGTACACAGTTTGTTGCACTTTGGTTCAGACTCTTTCATTATAAAATTCAAACATCATAAAATTCACTTTCAGAGATTAAAGCCATTTACCTGTATTTACATTTATTTAAATCCATCCAATAAGTGAGGAATAGGAATGAATATATTTTCTTCAAGACCTGACTTGAAATAATACAGATTTTCATTTGTAGAATTGAAGTTCTTTTGAGAACAAATATATTCTATGGACATATGAAAAGGAAATCTTATATTAATATTCTCAAGTGATTTTTGATTAACGATAGCCTATTTAATCCAATATTCAAAGAATATACCTTTCAGTTGCTTTGTTGTGAAATACCTGGCAGCGTTCCAATAGTATAGTTACATAATAACTGCTTTTGAAGTGCTTTCATTCAGCCAGAGTGATGAGTCATGTTAATATTGAAAAAGCTATACATTAATGACAGTATCCATCTTCGTGAGAGAAATGATTGATTTTTAAATTTATCAGCTGTGAAGTATAGAAGTAAAGAGTATCTCATTATATTTTTGCTCTGTGTTCTTTTTTTTTTATCCTCATAAGTATTATTTTCACAATGTTTCGGCAAAGTCTCATTTGCCATCTTCTGGTGATGTCTGGAGTTTTACAACTGTGAACTTTTACATCTAGATTCCAGACAATACCAGAAGATGGCAAATGAGACTTTGCCGAAACGTTGGGAACATAATCCTTATGAGGATAAAACACACAGAACACGGAGTGCTTTGTCCATGAATTTTCCATTTTTTATTTATATCAAATCCACTACCTAAACTATCTATATACAAGGTACATGGTATCCAAGTATCTAATAATAGTAGGGTAGAAGGTTAAGGCAGGACATCACTAGGTTATATCTAGTGGGCTACTGAACTTCACCTTTTAGGTCAGCCATTATGTGTAAATGAATGTAAAACACTTTTGTTCCGTTTTCCAAGCTGTTCTAATAAAAACATATTATTATTATTATTATATGTTGTAGAGTATCTTAGGTGAGTTCAACAAAGAACAAGAGGCCTTTGTGAAAGGTCAGAGTGGCAATTCAGCAACTGCATTAAGTTAGTAATGAATTTTTGATAACCACTAAATCAACAAATTATGTCCTCATTACCCCTGTTAGCTACCACTTACGAAATTTTTGTACTAGCTAATGTTGGGCGTCTCGTCAAAATGAAGCTACTGACGAAAAATTAGCTTGTTAGTAATCACTTACGAAAAAGGGCGAGGGATCCCGGTCTAATAGGTATGTGTTATTTGAAACGAAATTTAAGAGCTTGCTTAGTCCGACCCAGGGTTTTAACGGTACCTCATCTACGCAAGTGCGGACGAACCAAAATCCGCCTCCGCATGTGTCTTTACGGAGTTAAGAGCGTGACATTCCACCTTGCAAAGCTACAAAACTTGTATTGAGTGTAATTATTAGGTATCTTGTATTTATGAATGTTGCCTATAAATGAAGTAAATGATTGGAACTATTGTATATAGCTCTATTGAAATCGCAAACGTTTCGGAAAATGAATATACGTATTTCCAGTCGAGGCATTTTCCACCAATAATATTTCAGGTTTTGAGAACGGAAAGGATTTTACGCTTTCGCGGAGGTCTCATGTGGCCTCTGTTACAACATTGGTTGTCAGTGTAATGATGTCCAATGTTCCAATGAATGAATAACATGTTTATTGAGTATGCTAATAAGTGTGGGCTAATTTTAAATTGCCTTTAAGTTTCGAAAACAACTGATCTCCAAAATACTGGCTAGTTGCACCTAATTTTCACTACAGAGCAAAAGTAATTCTATAATTCAAATGCATAGCTTATCTCATCAAGTCGGAGCTTAAATATCCCATATAGATTCATTGATATTCAGGTGCACTGAAGTATTGCTAATTGATTTGAATTTTGATGAATTTTAGTTGTCTTGCTGTGCGTCTTATTCGTACGCCACTGGATGTAGCATTCCTAAACAAGAAGAGTGAAGAATAATGATGCACGAAGCAAGATCCATTTAAAACTGGTTTTCAACAATGTTGCAAGGTTAAACCATGGGAACATTTGAACAGTGGTAGATCCTACTTGAGAGAGTAGACTCTTTTTAGTACCTACTAATCCAATGGTGGGGCAAGTAACATTTTTGGAATATCTTTGTTTAGCAGAAATCTTAGATTAGTTTTCACACATATAAATTTATGGATGTAGCCGTTACTACATGGTAGGAGATCATAATGAAGAAAAGAGAATTGAAACTTTCTGTTTTTTAACACTTTCATTTGTAACTAACGTTACTGCAGTTTCGTCGTATAAGGACATTTTCAAACTTATACAATAAACATTGAG